GGCGCCGCTTCTCGCGGGCGATCTCGTGGAGCCGGTCGCACTTGTCGCACTCGTCGCGGAGGCCCCGGACGATCTTCGCCGCGGCGTCGCCGTCGAGCTTGAGCGCGGACGCGAGCGCCGGCGCGGACATGCGGCTCGCGGCCTTGCCGTCGAGCTTGACGTCGAGGACCTTGTCCGCGGCGCCGCGGAGGCCGAGCTTCTGCGCGAAGAAGGCCGCGAGGCGCGTCGGCGCCCAGGCCTTGGGGTAGGGCGGCAAGGGCGGCGCGGCGGGCGCGTCGCGGGGCCGCGCGACGCCCGGGTCCGTGCGGAGCTTGGGCACGACCTTGCCCCGGTCGTCGGACGCGGCGTCCGCGGCCTTGGACGTGCCCGCGAGCTCGCAGACCGTGCGGAGCGTCGCGATGGAGTGCTCCGCGTCCGTCGCCGCGGGGCTCACCGTGGCGACGACGGCGAGGTGCGCCGACGGCGCCGTGAAGGCCTCGCGGAGCACGCGCGTGAGCGCCGACGACCGGAACGGCGGCGGCGCGGGCGCGTGGTCCTGCGCGTCGAAGCCGCCCCGCTTCCGCCACCGGGCGACGAGGCGCGACGCGCGGATGCACTGCTTGAGCGCGTAGAGCGACTGGTTGATCTCCGCGGACTCCTTGCGGCGCTGCGCGTCGTGGTACATGGAGTCCTTGGACCGCTCACTGCCCGCGCAGTCGATGAGCGTCAGCGAGCCGCCGCCGGGAAAGTCGAGGCGGCAGACCGCGTGGGACCGCGACGACCCGCCGTTGACGTCCGTCGGCGCCGTCGCCCGGCGGGCCCGGCCCCGCTCCAGGAGCTCGAGGAACTGGGCCGCGGAGCCCGGCCGCGCGACGACGGAGTCCGCGGCGACGCCGGAGACGTCGTCGCTGAGCGCGAGGGGCTTCGGCGAAAAGTGGAGCGCGCCGTCGTCGTCGCCGTCGCGCCGCCGCAGGTCCTCCTTGCGCAGCAGGTCCAGCGCGCGCTTCCCGCGGACCTCGAAGTAGCGCAGGTCCGCGGCCCGCGACCCGGCGCCGAAGACGGCGTCGCCGACGCGCGCCTCGAAGCCCGCCATCGTGTGCGTCTTGCCGCTGCCCGTCTGGCCGAACATGAAGAGCGCGGCGACGCCGCCGTCGAGCGCCGCGTCGACGCAGGGCCGCGCGCCGCTCGCGTACGCGTCGTCGTCCGTCGCCGACGCGCCGACCGCGGCGGCGACGGGGAAGCGCGCGGGCCGGTGGAGCAGGCGCACCATGTCCGCGTGCATCGTGCACTCGTGGATCGTCACCCAGGGCCCCCGGGAGCGCGCGCGGCGCGGCGCGGGCAGGTCCGTCGACGCCGCGCAGAACTCGCCGCGCGCGGCCTCGTGCGGCAGCAGCGGCCGCACGCGGACGACGACGCGCGCGCCGGCGTCGCAGGGCGGGTTCTCCTTGTCGCCGTCGTCGCACTCGTCGCGGCGCGCGCTCGGGCTCAGCGCGCGCGCGCGGAACGCGGCGACCGCGGCGGCGAAGTGGCGCGCGTTCCGGAGCCGCGCGGTGCGCTTGTCGAGGTTCCGCCGCGTCTCCGGCTCCCGGTCGGCGATGGCGTCGGCGTCGCGCTTCCGCTGCTGGCGCTCGCGGCGCACGCAGAGCGGCGCGTTGTGCCCCGACGGGGGACCGCGGTCGGTCGACTCGCGGCGCGGCCGCCGCCGGGGCTCGCCGCCGCGCTGGGCGTCCCGGGGCGTCCGGGCGGACTTTGGGGGCCGCGCGGCGTCCCGCGCCGCGTCGCGCTGGCGCGCCTCCTCGGCGGCGATGGCCGCCGCGCGCCGCGCCTCGAGCACGTGCGGCGCGGGCAGCGCGGCCTCGGCCTCGCGCGCCGCGCGCTCGCGCTCGACGCGCTGGCGCTCGCCGTCGGGCCGCCGCTGCTGCGCCGCGCGGCCGGGGCCCCGCGCCGCGCCCGCGCGGTCCGCGAGCGACTGGCGCGGCGGCGGCGCGGTCCGCCGCGGCGGCGGCCGCCGCTCCTTCTCGCGCTTCTGCTTCTGCTTGAGCTTCGGCGGCATGCCGAAGAGGCCGCCGCCCTCGTACTCGGCGTCGTTCCAGCCGGCGCCGCCGCCCGCGCCGTCGCCGCCGCGCAGCAGGCGGCTGAAGATCGCGTCCGCGTCGGCCTTCTCCTCGGCGCTCGGAGGGCGCGCGGTGCGCGGCCGCTCGTCGACGGACGAGTTCCACGCGGGCCGCGCGTCGGCGCCGCGCGCCGGCGGCGGGCTCGGCGGCGCCGGCGGCGTGCCCGGCGGCGCCGGCGGCGTCCCGGGCGGCGCGGGCGGCGTGCCCGGCGCGCGCTGGTAGCGGCTCGGCGTGTACTCGGGAGTCGCCGACCGCCGCGCCGCGGGCTCCGGCGTCGGCCGCCGCTCCTCCGGCGTCGCCGACCGGTACTCGTGCCGGTACGCCGGCGCGGGCCGCAGCGGCGGCGACGCCGGCGGCGTCCGCGCGCGCGCCGCGGGCGCGGCGGGCTCCGCGGGCGCGGCGGCGAAGCCGCGGCGCTTGCGCGCGGCCTCGGCCCGCCGGGCCTGCTCGATGGCCTTCTGGCGCCGCGCGGCGTAGTCCGACGGGTCGTAGGTCGCGTCCGTCGAGTTGAGGCTCGAACGCTTCGCCTTCGCCTGGCGTTTCGCGTCGCGCTCGGCCTGCCGCTGCGCCAAGACCTGCGCGCGCCGCGCCTCCTGCTGGCGCGCGCGCTCCGCGAAGCTCGGCAGCTCCACGGGCTCCATGGTCGTCGCCATATTGACGACGCAGCGACGAGGCACTGGCGGCGCGGCGGCTCGCGCGCGAGGCGACTCGAGACACCGGCGGCGGTTGACCGAGAGAGCTTGCGGCGTTCACAAAGCTCGTCAACTTGCACTTCATGGTGCAGTTCTTAAAATCGGTCTCAACATCTAGATCTGTCAGGGCTGGTACTTGGGCTAGGCGCCCGACCAAGCTTCGAGCGCAAAACCAAAAATCTCGCAATCATTACGCGCCTTTCTTGATGCCGCCGCCGAACTTGCAGCAGGCCTGCGTCGCCTTGAGGCCGGCCTGGGAGACCCAGTCCGCGTTCTCCGCGCGGAGGCGGTCGCAGCCCTTCTTGTGCTTCGTCACGAAGGGGTGGTCGGCGCAGGTCTTCGGGTCGTAGGCGACGAACTCGAAGGGCCGCGCGTAGAGCTCGCCCTTGCCCGGCACGAAGCTGTCGGTGACGAAGGCCTTGGTCAGGAACGTCTTCATCTCGCCGGCCCAGCGGTCCCACTGGTGGACGACGGGGCTCCGGCTCCCGTCCGTGTTCGTGATGAAGCCCTTGACCGGGTCCCGCACCTTCCACTTCGTGTCCAACGGCCCCAGGAGCTCCATGGGCACGGAGTTGCCGTTCATCGCGCCGATGGTGTGGACGACGCCCGAGCCGCGCGGCTCGGAGACGACGCGGAGGCCGTTGCGCGCGTGGGCGCCGCTGAGGATGAGGTAGTTGTGGTAGCCCTGGTCCGAGGGGATGCCCTTGGTCCGGTGGCAGAGCCACTCGTCGCTCGCGGAGAGCATCGCGTCGACGTACTTGAGCATCGCGTCGCGCGACCCGAGCGTCGACCCGCTGCAGCGCACGGGCTGGGTCCACGTCTCCGGCGTGTGCCACTTGGCCGCCTCGAAGCAGCGGAGCCAGCCCTTGTTCCACTTGCAGGTGCCCGTGGTCTTGAGGCCGTCCTCCTCGAAGACGTAGAGGTCCTTCGCGTGGTCCGCCGCGGACCGGCGCGCCGCGAGCGGCAGGAAGGGGTCGGCCTGGAAGAACGTGTCGCGCGTGTCGAGGTCCAACACATAACTCTCGGCGGAATACTGGCGCAGCCAGGTCTCGTACATCTCGTAGCGCGAGATCGCGAGGGGCCGCGGGCCCCGCGCGTCGCGGTCGCGGTACCAGTCGTCGAGCACGCAGCCGCCGGGCGTCACGAGGAGTTTTCGGCCCCGGGGGCCGCCGCAGGTGAACTTGAAGGGGTAGGCGAGCACGTGCTGGTTCTTCAGGTAGGCGGCGACGTGGCGCTTCATCTCCTTCTCGGGCGACACGGAGAGCGCGACGTCGCCCGCGAAGCCGGCCTTCCGCAAACTCCCGACGAACATCTTGTAGCTGTCGACGGCGTAGCCGAAGGCCAGCCCGACGACGACGTCGTTCGCCGGGTTGTGCTTCAGGCCCCAGAGCGGCCGCGCGGCGACGGTTTTGCGCGTCGTCTCGTTCGGGACATTCAAGGGCGCCGTCCACGCGTTCTCGGGGAGCGGCTCGCGGAACGCGCAGCACGTGCCCTTCATGACGGCCGGGTCGACGTCGAGACCGCAGGGCCGCCGCAGGCCCGTGAGCCAGGCCTCCTCGCTGCAGGGCGTCGCCGTCCGCGGCGCGGCCGGGACCCGCGGCTTCGGGACCGCTTCGGGCGGCGGCACGGGCTTGAACTTGGGCGCGACCGGCTCCGGCGGCGCCGGCGGCGCTTCGATCGGCGGTTTCTCCTTGCGCGCGGGCAGCTCGAGGCGCTCGAGGAGCGCGGCCGGGTCCCGCGTCGATTTCGCGACGAGCGCGCCCGGCCGCCGCGCGGCCTCGGGCTTCAGCGTGATGGTCTGCGCGCCGTCCGGGAGCCGCACGCGGCTGCCGTGGTAGGCCGTCGTCGTGGTCGTCGTCTGCGGCGGCGCGGCGTCCGGCGCGGCGGCGGCGCGCACGGCGAAGGCGATGGCGCAGACGACGACAAAAATGAGGACGAAGACCCAGTTGTTGCCCTCGCGCGGAGGAGGAGGTTTGGGGCTGCTGGGGTCTGGTGGCGTGGTGCCTCGCGGCGACGCCGGAGCGTCGCGGCCGCGCCTCATCGTCGAATGGCAGCTGTGGTTTAGCCGATGAGGCCCCCCATTGCCTGTGGGCGGGCTTTTCAGCCGCTGAGGCCCATTGCGCCTGTGCCAAGGCTGTGGCAATCGAAGGCGAAGCGCCGGCAAGCCGATCGGGTTCGCTCGTCGCCGCGGCCGCCGCTTGACATCGACCGGAGTAAATTTGTGTTGTTGTCCGTCGGCGGTCGTGCCGGCGAGGAGGCCGCGAGCCCCACCAGCGCCCCGCAACCCGCCGGTGCTATCGTGCTGGTCAGCTGATCGAAAAACAGGAGCGCGGGAGCGCGCGTCGGAACCGGTGGAATGGAGGCCGCGGGCACTCGTCTGTTGGACGAGTCGCAGCCCTTTGATGTGGCCATCTTCGATGGGGTCGTGTCGGCGTCGTACGACCCGCGGCATCCCGAGCGGAGCATGGCGAACGAGATCCTCATGAAGCTGCGCGAGCAGTCCAACGCCTGGGCCAAGGCGGACGCGATCATCGAGAACTCGACGCTTCCGCAGGGGCGGTTCTTCGGGCTCATGGCCCTGGACGACGCGATCAACACGCGCGCGCCGGCGCCGCCGCACCGCGCGCGCCTTCGAGAGCGGGGGCGCGCGCCGGGACGCCGCCCCGGCCGCGCGCGCGCGCGCGCGCGGAAACGAACAAAGGCCCGACGTCCCCTCCGCGGCGCAGGCGGTGGAAGATCCTGCCCGAGGAGCAGCGCGTGGGCATCAAGGGCTTCATCGTGAACAAGATCATCCAGCTCAGCAGCGACGAGGCGACGGCGAGCGCCGAGCGGACGATGATCCACCAGATGAACAAGGTGCTCGTGTCGATCCTCAAGCAGGAGTGGCCGCACAACTGGCCGTCGTTCATCGGCGACGTCTGCGGCGCGAGCCGCACGTCCGAGGTGCTCTGCGAGAACAACATGCACATCCTGCGCCTCCTGTCCGAGGAGGTCTTCGACTTCAGCAAGGACGCGATGACGACGGCGAAGATCCGCACGATGAAGGAGTCGCTCAACGCCGAGTTCGCGCAGATCTTCCGGCTCTGCGAGTTCGTGCTCGGCGCGAGCTCGCGGCCCAAGCTCATCGACGCGACGCTGGGCACGCTCAAGGCCTTCCTCTCCTGGATCCCCCTGGGCTACCTCTTCGAGACGCCGCTCGTGCAGACGCTCGTGGAGCGGTTCTTCGCGGCGGCGCAGTTCCGCAACGCGGCGCTCGAGTGCCTCACGGAGATCGCGTCGCTCTCCGACCTCGAGCCCAAGTACGACGAGGCCTTCGTGCGCCTCTACGTCGGCGCGCTCCAGGCCCTGGGGCAGATCGTGCCGCGCGACGCGTCGCTGGCGGCGGCGTTCGACGCGGCGAGCGGCCGCGACGCGGACCAGCTCTTCGTGAGCCGGCTGGCGCTCTTCTTCAGCGGCTTCTTCAAGGCGCATTTGCGGCTCGTGGAGACGCGGGAGCACGGCCAGGCGCTCCTCGAGGGGCTGCAGTACCTCGTGCGCATCTCGGCCGTGCCGGACAACGAGGTCTTCCAGATCTGCCTCGACTACTGGCACGCCTTCTCCCAGGACCTGTACGCGTCGGAGACGGGGCGGCCCGTGGGCGCGCCGCGGCCGGGCGCGCCGCCCGCCGAGGGCGAGGACGGCTTCGACGCGGCGGCGCCCGACGCGCCGGCGGCGCTGAACCTCGGCGGCGCGGCGCCGAACCGCTTCGGCGGCGGGCCCGCGGGCGGGGCCGCGGGGCCCAACGCGGACCGCAAGGCGTTGTTCCAGCACGGGGGCCTGCTCTCGCAGGCGCGCTTGGTCATCATCAGCCGCATGTCCAAGCCCGAGGAGGTGCTGGTGGTCGAGGACGAGAACGGCGAGATCGTCCGCGAGATGTTCAAGGACACGGAGGCCATCGCCCAGTACAAGACCATGCGCGAGACGCTCGTGTATCTGACGCACCTCAACTACGACGACACGGAGTCGATCATGCTCGACAAGCTCGCGCTCCAGGTCGACGGCACGGAGTGGTCCTGGGCGAATTTGAACACGCTCTGCTGGGCCATCGGGTCCATCTCCGGGGCCATGAGCGAGGACGAGGAGAAGCGGTTCCTCGTGACGGTCATCAAGGACCTGCTGGGGCTCTGCGAGGTGAAGCGCGGCAAGGGCAACAAGGCGTGCATCGCGTCGAACATCATGTACGTCGTCGGCCAGTACCCGCGGTTCCTCCGGGCCCACTGGAAGTTCCTCAAGACCGTCGTGAACAAGCTCTTCGAGTTCATGCACGAGCTCCACCCGGGCGTCCAGGACATGGCCTGCGACACGTTCCTCAAGATCGCGCTCAAGTGCAAGCGCAAGTTCGTGACGCAGCAGCCGGGCGAGGCGCGGCCCTTCGCGCGGGATCTGGTCGCGCAGCTCCCCGCGATCATCTCGGATTTGGAGCCCCACCAGGTCCACGCCTTCTACGAGGCGACGGCGTGCCTCCTGAGCGACCGCGGCGGCCACCCGTCCGTCGCCGCGCAGCGGCCCGCCTTACTCGCGCAGCTCATGGCTCTACCGAACGACGCGTGGCGGCGCATCACGCACGACGCGCAGCAGAACCCGGCGACGCTCGTCAACCCGGACACGGTGCGCGACGTCGCGAAGATCGTCAAGACGCACCGCATGGTCTGCGGCGCGTGCGGGCCCCTGTACGTGACGCAGCTGGGGGCGTGCTATTTGGACCTGCTCAACGTCTACCGCGCGTACTCGGAGGCCGTGTCGTCCGCCGTGCAGCAGCACGGCGACCTCGCGACGCGCCACGCGGACGTGCGGGCTCTGCGGGCGGCGAAGCGCGAGATCCTGCGGCTGCTGACGACCTTCGTCGAGAAGTGCGGCGAGCCCGAGGCGCCCCCGCCGCTCGTCGCGACGTCCTTCGTGCCGCCGCTGCTCGAGCCCGTGCTCAACGACTACCGGCGGTCCATCGTCGAGGCGCGCGACAGCGACGTGCTGAACCTGCTGGCCGCGACGGTGGACAAGCTGCGGGATCTGGTGGCCAACGAGGTGCCGCGCGTGCTCGACGCCGTCTTCGAGCCGACGCTGCGCATGATCACGCGCAACTTCGAGGACTTCCCGGAGCACCGGCTCGCGTTCTTCAAGCTCTTGAAGGCCGTGAACACGCACTGCTTCGCGGCCCTCTTCGCCATCCCCGTGGCCCACCACAAGCTCGTCGTCGACAGCGTCGTCTGGGCGTTCAAGCACACGGAGCGCAACGTCGCGGACACGGGCCTGGAGATCCTCTACGAGCTGCTGCTCAACGTCGGCCGGACCGTGGACGACGCGAAGCAGCCCTTCTACCGCGCCTTCGTGCTGCCCCTCATCCAGGACGTGCTCGCGGTCATGACGGACCGGCTCCACAAGAGCGGCTTCAAGATGCACGCGACGCTCCTCCGCCACCTCTTCCACCTCGTCGAGGCGGGCCACGTGACGGCGCCCCTCTTCGACGACCCGACCAAGTACCCGTCGAACCAGGCCTTCCTCCGGGACCACGTCGCGAACCTCCTGAGCACGTCGTTCCCGAACCTGAGCCGCCAGCAGATCGTCGACTTCGTCGTCGGCCTCTTCGATCTGCGCATGGACCTGCCGACGTTCAAGACGCACCTCCGCGACTTCCTCATCCAGCTCAAGGAGTTCAGCGAGCAGAACAACCAGGACCTCTACTCCGAGGAGCGCGCGGCCCAGCAGGTCGCCGTCGCGGAGCAGCAGAACGCCGCGCGCCTCGCGGTCCCGGGCCTCGTGAACCCGCACGACCGCCCCATGGACGACGACGACCTGTGATCGCCGCGCCCAGACCACGCCCCCCTCGCGCGCTCTCCGACACCCCCCGAAACCAAAAGCAAGATCCGCCGCGTAACGCGCAGAAAAGTCGACCCGCGAGTTGGTGGGGTCGCTTCGAAGGGCGGAGACATGCGGTTAGGTAGGCGTCTGTCAACTCGGGGGCGGGGAACAGTGGGGGATGCGGCGCGCTGGCGCCCCTGCGGGCCCAGCGCGGCGGGTCCTTGGGCCTTTGGCTCTGGCGCGCGCGCGCGCCTAGAGGAGCGCCGCGGCGAGGAGGCCCGCGGCGACGAGCGCGATCGTCGCGCGGATGCCGGCGGCGCCGTCGACGTCGAGGGCCGTCGGCGCGGACGTCGTCTCGGCGACGAAGAGGTCCGCGCGGATGACGTAGTAGTCGGAGCCCCACGGCGTGTACCCGTCCCAGCCGGGGTAGGCGTCGTCGCCGAGCATGCGGTCGCTGAGGGAGACGTGCCACTCGGGCGTCACGAGGTTGGACACGGCCATGTCGTCGAGGATCGCCTCGTGGGCGTAAGCGAGCGCGGAGACGCGCGCGTCGTGGTCGTCCTCGTCCGACATCGTGTCGATGAGCGCGTCCACCGTCGACGAGTTGAGGCCCGCGTGGTTGCTGCCCCCGTCGGAGCGGAAGAAGGCGTTGAGGAACCAGGCCGGGTCGCCCGCGGGCAGCGTGTTCTGGGCCCAGAGGAGGAGGTCGAAGTCGCCCTCGTCGAGGCGCGCGACGACCTCGGACCAGTCGTCGGACTCGGACCGGTCGCCGTCCATGGTCATGATCGCGTTGCACTTGATGCCCACGGCGCTCAGCGAATCGCAGATGGGCGTCTGCATCGTGCCGAGGTCCGGGCGGAACGCGTAGGCGACGAGGTCGATCGTCAGGTTCTCGCCGCCCTTCATGCGGACGCCCGTCGACGAGTCCAGCGCCCAGCCCGCCGCGTCCAGCAGCGCCTCGGCGCCGCTCTCGTCGGCGTAGGACTCGCCGAGGTCGCTCTGGTACCACGGCGTGTAGTCGGGGAAGAGGGACCGCGTGCCGTGGCCGCCGGCGAGCGCCTGGGACACGGCGTCGCGGTCGACGGCGAGGTCGATGGCCTGGCGCACGTTGACGTCGTCGATGGCCCGGCCGCCGTTGTTGCCGACGTTGTGGAAAATGCCGTCGACGCCGCGGACGTCGGAGAGCGTGTCCGAGTCCGCGGGCAGGTGGAAGCCGATGTCGACCTCGAGGTTCTCCGAGGCCGTGGCCAGCGCGTCGGAGCTGGCGTACTTCTTGAGGAGGATGTCGGGGCGGTCCGAGGCCTGGGGGTAGTACCTACAAGGACGCGTTCCTTCTCCGCCGGGTTTCCAGAGACGCGGCGGCGGTACGTGTTCGGCACGAGGTCGATGTGGTCGCCGGAGACGAACGCGTCGACCTTGTAGGGGCCCGTGAAGACGTAGTCCGAGCCGTCGAGCATCCAGATCGTGAAGACCCACTCGGCGAGCACCGAGTCCATGACGTGCGTCGACTCGTCGGACTCGATGGAGATCGTGACGTCGTCGAGCGCGGTCACCGTCCAGCTCCCGACGGTCGCCTGCGCGTTCGAGTTGACGCTGTTGATGGTGTTGAGGCAGTCGGCGACGTGCGTCGCCGTGACGAGCGTGCCGTCGGAGAAGTAGTAGTCCGACTTGATCGTCGCCTCCCAGACCTGCGGGCGCGCGTTCCGACGCGGGCGGGGGGCAGCCCCGGGCGCGACGCGCGTCGGGTTCGTCGACGCTGCCCTTTGCGTATTCGCTCACCCAGGTGACACTCTCCGCCACCTGGCCGACGATCTCGCCGTCCTCGTTGACCGTGAAGAGGTTCTCGGAGATGCCGTGGCTCGTCAAGCTCCATCCGTTGCTGCCCGGCGTGGGGTCGATGGCCGAAACCATCGAGCTCGTGCCCACGATGACCGTGTCGTCCGCGTGCGCCGCCGGCGCGGCGAGCACCAAGGCGAGGAGCACGGCGCGCGCGTGGGTAATCAAGGCTGCCATTGTCTACTAGTGTCGGACCCGTCTGAATAGAATTCGATCCTTGACTGCGATTCGCGCGCGCGCGATTCTGTCTGGATGTTGACCTTCCGACTCGGAGTTCAGTTTATGTTGAACGGGCCGTGAAAACACGCCGCCCGGCCGAGTCCAGGACAATCGGGAGACATGGAGGTTAGGGGCGTCTGTCAACTGAGAAGGGGAACAGCGGGGACTTGCGCGCATGCGGCGCGCCGGGGGGCGGGGTCGGGGCGCGCCTACTCGGGCTTCGCGGCGACGGCGGCGATGCCCGTGATGAACTCGGCCTTGAGCGACGCGCCGCCGATGAGGCCGCCGTCGATGTCGGGCTGCTTGAGGAGGCCCTCGGCGTTGGCGCCCTTCATGGAGCCGCCGTACTGGATGCGCGTGGCCTTGGCGACGGCCTCGTTGACGTTCGCGGCGAGCCACTTGCGGATGGACGCGTGGACCTCCTGGGCCTGGTCCGGCGTCGCCGTCTTGCCCGTGCCGATGGCCCAGACGGGCTCGTAGGCGATGGCGATCTTCGCCCACTCCGCGTCGGAGAACTTGCCCTTGAGCGCGCCCATGTGGTCGTCGAGGACGACGGCGTCGATCTTGCCCGCCTCGCGCTCCTCCAAAGTCTCGCCGACGCAGACCATGACGGAGAGGCCCGCGTCGAGGGCCGCCTTGGTCTTCGTCGCGACGAGGGCCGACGACTCCTTCTGGTTCGTCCGCCGCTCGCTGTGGCCGACGATGACCCACTTGACGCCGAAATCCGCGAGCATGCCCGCGCTCAGCTCGCCCGTGTAGGCGCCGTCGCCCGTGGCGCTGCAGTCCTGGGCGGCGACGGCGATGTCCTGGCGGAGCGTCGCGAGCACGGAGCCGATGTGCACGCTCGGCACGCCGACGACGACCTCGACCCACGCCTAAGGAACGACGTGATTTTTTTGGGAAGCGCGCCATGGCACGCCGGGGTGCGTGCGGGGATGGGGCCCGCCTCGTTGAGCGTCTTGACGAGCGCCGCGGTCGACGCCTTGGTGCCGTTGCACTTCCAGTTGCCGCCGATGAGGTACTTCTTGCCGTCGAAAGCCGCCTGCGGCGCCCCGGGTGGCCCACCAGCGCCGACGAAGGCTTGCATCTTCGACTGCGGCGCGCGCGCGGCACGCTCGCGCGGCGATTCCGGCCGTGCACCGCGCGGGCGGGGCCGCGCGGGACCCACGTGGCCTCCGGATCCGCTGGCGTGGCTGGGATCGGCGAGCGGTGCGGCGCCGCTTTCTTCGCGCGCGCGCCCCGGGAAAAAGAGTGTGGCGCGCGTGATCAACACTGGTGCGCACGACGAGAGAAGCCATGGTGTTAAACGGGGACGAAGAGCGGTGTGCGAGCGGCTGGTGGAAAGATGCGCGGCTTTGGCAGCTTGGCGGCGCGACGTTGCCGAAGCGGCTCGCCCAGCACCTCAACGAGCCACATCAGCACATCTTGACGCGACATTGCTGTTTGACCGAAGCTGTCCCGGCGGCCCCGGCTACGCTCGGCCGCCGCGCCGCTGCGCGGCATCGGGCGGGCGACCACGAAAAGCGGCGTCGCGGGCCCCTACCGCCTTCGCGGCCGGCTCGCGACGACCGCGGGCTCACGCGTTGGGTCTTCTACTTTGTTATTTTCTCGGGCGCGCCCCCGTCCCGGGGATCGCTCACTTGCCGCCGCGGATGGTCGTCGCCTCGAGCTGGAGGAGGTAGGCGAACTTCGTCTTCGCCGAGTCGCCGTCGGACGCCGCCGGGTAGAGCGGCTTCCGGCCGTTGAGGAGCCAGATGTTCGCGGTGAGGACGCACGCCACGGAGATCCACGCGAGCGACGGCGCGAGGACGAGGCCGGCCGCGGGCGCCGCCGACTCGCGGAAGAGCTGGACGGCCCGGAGCACGCTGCCCCAGACGGCGAGGCACCCGATCGCGGACACGCCGAGGCGCTTCTCGACGTTCGTGACCGTGTTCCACGTGTCGCCGATGCAGAGGTGGAGCATGAGGGCCTCGAGCGGCGCCGACCGGAGGGCCCCGGCGTAGACCATCGTCGCCGCCGTCGCGCGGAGCGCCGTGATCGTCAGCCAGATGAACGGGAACGCGATGCCCGGCGGCGTCCACGCGGGCCGCTTCACCTCCACGGGCGTCGCCTTGCCCGCCATGCCCTCGCGGTTCGGCCGCGAGTTGTCCAGCAGCGAGAAGACGCGGCTCCGCAGCGACAGGAAGCAGAACGTCGCCCAGACGACGGGCGCCGGCAGCGCGAACGGCAGCGCGTCGACGGCGGACGCGGCGCCGAGGAGCAGCCCGAACTGGGCGCCCGTGGCGGCGACGTACTTGGCGACCTCCCGGGCCGCGTAGGCCGTCTTCGACGACGGCGCCGCGGGCGGCGCGGGCGGCGCCAGGCGGCACCCAAAGTCGTAGAAGGACACGACGCCAGTTTTGGCGCACGCGTCGCGCCACTCGGCGACGCTCGCGGCGCGCAGCGGCGTCTGCGGCGCGCGATGTGCCGGAGCGGCGCGCGGAAGGCGCCGACGGCCGAGACGGCGAGGAGCGCGCGCAAGATCCGCATAGCCATCGGAGCGCTGGCTCAGTCGGCGAGCCGCCACAGCCACTGCCGCAGGCCACCGGCCGCGGCGCGCGCGCGGGGGGCCGTCTCGACGGCGCGGCGCGGGCCAGCAGCGTACGGGCATGGACGAGGAGGTCGCGGCGCTCGCGCGCGTCTCCGGGTGCGCCGTCAGGCGGACGGGCGAGAACTCAGCGTCCAAAACACACCCCACATCGCCCGCACGATGACGACCCCTTATTCCTCGTTTCCGAAAGGCCGCAGCCGCTGAAAAGCGCGCGAGTGGCTCTTCATGAGACTTCCGTCAAACTGACGCTAATCTTCTCACCGAGTGCTGATTCGCTCGCTCGCTCGCGTCGACGCCGCGCTTCCGCCGCGCGACCCGCCAACCCCGCGCGCAGGCCAGAGGCTCGACACGCCCGCGCACATTTTACGCCAAACGCTTCGGGGGTTGGGTTTTTCGGGCGACGACGTCAACGAGCGAGACGATGAGAACGACGGTGCCCGTCCCCTGCACGAGGCAGCCCGTCGTGGGCACGAATGCGCGGTCGCATTGCTCCTCGCTGCCGGCGCGGAAGTGGATGCTGGGGATGACGGCGGCGTTGTAGCTCTTCACCTGGCATGTATGGAGTGTCGGACCCCGGACATCGTCAGACTTCTTCTGGAGGCGAACGCCGACGTGAACAAGCGCGACATAGACGGCTCGACGCCACTTCACTGGGCGATCAATGGGCTTTATTCTGATCGGGAGACTATTGCCTGCGTGAGGTTGCTACTCGAGGCCGGCGCGGACGCGACCCTGCAAGATAGACAAGGATTTACGCCTCTCCATAAGGCAGCTTATTACGGGAATGCCAGTGTCGCCAAAGCTCTGATCGCCGCGGGAGCTGATCCGAACGTGAAGGATCTCGTTTGCCAACGGGGCTCCCCATACGCTGTGGCGCTTGACCACGGTCACCGCCGCGTCCTTCGCGTGCTGCTCCAGCACGGTGCCGTCCCAGATGCGCACGTTTACCGCCGCCAGCCTCCCGTCGTGGTTGACTCTGTGGTCCACATCCCCCCCAGCGAAACCGCCTGGCTCTACCACGACCGGGTCGTCGCGGCAGGCGGCTACGACGCGCTCGTCAAGCAGCACCGGCGAATCCTCGCGAGCGTCGTCGACAAGGTCGTCGAGGCCAAGTTCGGCCGCCGCGCGCCGCAGGAGGTCTGCGCGCACGCCGCCCTGTTCATCGCGCCACCGGGTGGTTCGTAAGCACGAAGCACGTCCTAGAAAAACACAACGACACACACTGTTAGAACAAAAACTCGAGCGTGTCCATGTCCTGGAGGAGCGGGACGCCCCAGTAGAACTCGCCGCGCTTCGCGTCCTGCATGAGCTCGTAGAAGTTGTCGAAGCTCATGGACGAGTTGATGACGGCGGCGAAGGTGTGGCCGCTGTAGAGCTCCGTGGACCGCGCCTGGTCCGACGCGACGAGGCGGTAGAAGTCCGCGACGTCGCAGCCCTGGGCCCGGATGAAGGCCTCGACCTTCTCCTCGAAGAGTTTTTTGAACCGGTTGTGGATCTCCGTGTGCTCCAGGAGGTACTCGCCTACGAAGCAGCGCGGTCGGCGCGGCCGCGGGACCCGAGAAACCGCGCCGCGGCGCGCCGTCCTTTCGATGCTCGTCGTCGAAGATGCTCGCGTTGTCGAAGGCGAACTTCTGCAGCGTCTCCTCGAGGTCGCTGTTCTCGTAGTAAAAGTCGAAGACGGCGCGCAGCAGGTCCTCGTCGGCGCCGCCGAGGCCGCCCTTGGCGTCGCCGCCGCCGCCGCCCTTGGCATCGTCGCCCTTGGCGCCGCCGCCCTTGGCGTCGTCGTCGTCGTCGTACTTGCCCTCGGACTTGGACCTGCGCGGACGCGTAACCGATTGCCGACGCCTCGGACGCTGCCCGGGCTCACTCCATCGCGCCGCGCGGCTTGAAATCCAATTCACCAACGAGGGAAACGTAAACAATATCATTGAAACTGATTTATCGACATCCGATCGGCAGCCCCGAGCGTGTGCAGCGTGCCTCGTTCCCGCGGCCCCGGCGGCCGTGCGAGGGGCCGGGGCGCCCCGGAGCGGCCCGTCGGCGGTCGGGGCGGCGCCATGCGCGACCCCCCGGCGGCGCTGGCGGCGTCCCGCGTCGCGAGCTCGCTCGAAACCGGCGGCCCGGCGTCGCCGGCGACGACGTACAAGCCCGACCCGAAACGGGGCAAGGGCGCGGGCCTGCCCGGGTCCGACGACCTCTACCTCGACGCGGCCCTCGGGGCGCTGAACGTCGGCGTCGGCGCCGAGGGCCGGCCCCTGCCGAGCATCACGTCGACGCCGACCGTCGCGTTCAAGCGGTCGCGCTTCGCGGGCCACGCGGCGCCCGTCGCGTCCGTCGGCGACGTCGAGTTCGTCGTCGCGGCGCTGAAAGGCGCCCAGCGCTGCGTGCCCTACGCCTACCGCCTCGCCGGGGGCGCGCCCGGCGCGCCGCCCGAGGGCGCGCGCGAGGGCCGCGACGACGGCGGCGACGTCGGCGTCGGCGACAAGCTCCTCCACTTGTTAACGCAGTGGGACGTGGAGAACGTGGTCTTGGTCGTCACGCGCGACGACTCGAAGAGCATCGTCGGCGGCGAGGCCCTGGGCGTGCGGCGCTTCAAGATCGTCATCGACTGCGCGAAATCCGTGTTGGAGCTCTGCTACCTCGACAGCCTGCGGCGGACGCTCCGCGCGTCGCGGGGCAGCGGCCCCGAGTTCGACGCCGCGGCGTCTTCCGTGCCCGCGTCGGCCCACGGCGCGGCCCTCTCCGCGCCGCCGCCGCCCGTGCCCACGGGCGTGCTCCGGCGGTCGCGGTCCGGGAGCTCGCACCCCGTGCCCGAGGAGGCGTCGAGCCTCGACGCGGCGTCCGTGGGGTCGTCGTCCAAGTCCGCCGCGCAAAAGCCGCTCCCGGAGAAGAAGCCGACGCGGCCCATGGGGCCCGACGCGCCGAACATGATGTTCCGGCCCCGGGGGCCCATGTGGAAGCCCACGCGGACCGCGTTGGGGACGACCGCGGATTTACCGGAAGGCCGCGACGTCGACTCCTGCGGCATCCCGCTGACGCGCGCCCTGGGCCGCGTGAACAACTTCCGCCACGGCTTCGACGCCCAGCGCGAGTCGCCGTCGAAGATCGTCGCCATGCGGCCCCTCGACGACGAGACGCTCTACGCGGGCTCCGTCGACGCCGCGTACCGCGACGACGACGACGGCGGCGCGAGCGGGCCGGCGCCGTCGCCGGCGGCCTACGACGACGAGGGCTTCGGGCTGCCGCGGTCCGCCGTCGCGACGGCGCTGCCCATGCCCCCGGACCTCGACAGCTCGCTGCGATCGCGAAATCCGCGCGATGCGGCAGCCCCACGCGGAGGTCGAGCTCGTGCTGCGCTGCGTGGCGGCGCTCGTCGACGGCCCGCGGTGGATCCTGCGGAAGCGCAGCGGCGGGCCGGCGGCGCGCGCGCCGCCCTACGACGTCGACTGGGTCGACGTCCGCTTCGCTTTAAGCGAGCCGGAGATCAACGCGCGCCTCGCGTGCTTCGACGCGTCGCGGCCGCCGGGCGGCGCGCCGGCGGCCGTGCTCGGGTCCCTCGTGTCCGCGGGGCTCGGGCCCCGGGCCATGGACCGGCTCCGCATCCGGTCCTTCGTCGCCGCGGAGTTCCTCCCCTGGCTCTGGGCCGCGCTCGCCGTCGAGATCGACCCGGACCAGCTCGCCCACGCCATCTCCTTCCTGCCGAAGACCATCGCCCACCCGGCGGGAACCCGCGACGACGTCGCGGGCGTCGCGGGCGCGCCGAAGCGGCGGAACGCGCGCGAGGAGCGCGAGCCGCCGCCCGCGCGGCCGCCGCGGAGCGCGGCGCGCGCCGCGGCGCCGGCGCCCCACGCCGACTCGCACCTCTCGCTCCCGGACGCGCTCGGCTCCTGGGAGGACGACTCCGACCTCCAGATCCCGGGCAAGAAGCTCCTGCCGCCCGACGAGCCCGACATGCAGAACCGCGTCGGGCCCCGCATCCAGGCGGACCCCGACCCCGTCGACCAGTGCCTGTGAGACGCGGCCACACGTTGTTCCAGCGCCGCCGCCCCGCCGCCGGCCTGCCCCGACCCCCGCCCTCCTTTACAAGACGACCTGACGCTGACGGGCACCGGCGCGCTGCTCGAGGCAGAATCTGATGCTCGAGGCCGACGGTTTCGGCCGAGCAATCTTCAATAACGCGAGCCAACATGGGCGGGGCTGCTAGCGCGCCGACCGACGCGCCGCCGCGCGCGAGCGTCGTCGCTCGCAACGACCGGGTCCAGGCGACGGTGCAGGAGTGCGTGAATCGGCATAATAAGCTCGTCGAGCTGAACATCGGCGCCGACGAGACCTTCCCCATGGACGAGCTGCGCGCGCTCTACGCCGACGCCGACGACGCGCTCTTCAAGAAGGCCGTCAAGCTCTTCGACTGGAGTTCCAAGGGCGAGGCGGCGCTCGAGAACGTGAAGATGTTCTCGCTGCTCATGGTCGCGCTGCTGCACCCGTCGGAGGCGGGGAAGATGGAGCGGACGACGTTCGACATCGCGTTCGCGATCTTCGACGCCGACGCCAGCGGCAATTTGGAGGTCGACGAGTTCAAGGCCATGTTCCGCGCGCTCTACCAGACGCGCGTGTCGGCGCTCAAGCTCGTCTACACGTCCAAGGCGGGCCACGCGATGCTCCAGGAGTTCGCCGAGTCGGAGCTGAGCACGGAGAACATGGAGTTCGTCGACGCCGTCGACGCCTGGGCGGCCATGGACGACGCGCAGCGCGGCACGCTCGCGGCCGGCGGCCTGCTGGACCAGTTCGTCGGCGAAGCCGCGAAGACGCCCGTGAACCTGCCCGCGAAGGCGACGGCGAAGCTCCAGGCCGAGTACAAGGCCGCCGTCGACGGCGGCGTCGAGACCCTGGGCGACGCGTTCTTCGAGGAGAGCAAGAAGGAGATCCTCAAGGTCATCGAGAAGGACACGTTCGCGCGCTTCAACAAGGACCGGGAGCGCATGGAGGCGCTCATGAAGGAGACGTTCAAGGAGGTCGACACGGACACGTCCGGCAAGATCTCCAAGGACGAGTACATCGCCTGGGCGAAGCAGCACCCGGAGGTCCTCGCGTTCTACGAGCACCTCACGGCCCAGACCCACAAGATCAAGGACGGCGCGATCACCTACGAGGACCTCGGCAAGCCGTCCCTCGCCCACGGCGCGGGCTCCCAGCCCGACGTCGTCAAGGCCGCCGCGGAGCCGGAGGTCGCCGCGGCCGCGTAGGCGTCGTCGATCCCCGGGCCGGGGGGGGGGGGGTAAATCAGAATTCTCGCTTCAACATCTTGTCTCTCAGCTGAGGCTGAGTCTGAGAGCATGGCGGCGATTGTGATGCGCTTTGTGGGGCTGCTGCTGCTGTTGACGCACGCGGCCGTCGCCGAGGACCTCGACGAGCTGTGGCTGCGCTCGGAGCTCGTCGAGGACGCCAAGCTTCGGTCGAGCTACGTCGCGCAGCTCTCCTCCATCCGCGTCTCCGGCGATGCCGGGGTGTCGCGCATCCAGA